AGAATGTGAGATATCCATATTCTAAAAAGTCCATCTAGATTAAGAGGATATTGATAGATATTTGAAGGCTAAATCCGATGTTACGCTTGTCAAAGAATACAGAAAAATGACAAAAGTTATTCGAGAATAATCGACTAGCTTAAATTACCTCATAGGGATATAGCCTGGACATAGACTAAAGAAAAATTATGCTCACGCTGTTGGCCTGTTATGTCCATGTTCTCGAGCTTCCTGGCGAAGGGCGCCAAGTTCATGCCTACGGGCCTTAACCATGTCCTCGGTGCCAGCAAGTTCGCGAGCCACCCACATAGCCAACAAACGGCCGGTTCCCGTCTTGTGTTCGGCCCTATAAGCTGTAGCAGACGAATGAGACTGGCTCGGATGGATACGGGAATCATCGTTCTCGTTATGGCAACTTTGGGCGCCAACTGGTTCTCTGTCATTTCGATGCTCCTGGCTGATCTGATGTCGAGGTCGCCGATATCCATTACCGCTTGGTTTGTCCGTTAGGGCGGCATGATGCACACTGACCGGCCTCTGCAAGTGACCAGTAGCTTTTGGTGGACCTAGCCGGGTCCGATCTGTTGAGGTAGAATCATGAAAGCCAGATAAAGGGCGCTTGGAGGTGCTAGAGCCAGAAAGAGTTGAGCTGTAGGCTGGTTTGTGGGTATGTGGGTAAGAATTTGCTTCGTAGCCAGCATCTGAAGCAGAAGACGAGGCAGATGAAGGATCAAGAACCCGCCGGTTCCGAACTGTGTGAACCGTTGGAGAGGCGCTATGGGTGGCGATAGGGTTCTGTGACATGAGGTTAGTTTCAGGCTCACCATCTACGGAGCTGCCGGAAACTGACTTGTAGTAAGCCAATTCGGTTTTGAGAGGCTTTTGGTCAACCATTTTTGTGATAGCCGAGTTGACTGAGGAAAGATGAGAGAAACCCTCAGTAGCTATGTAAGCAAGATTATATGAAGCCTGTATCAAAGACTGACATAATTTATACCAATTAAAGGCGATTTATAAGAGGTATAATCGACATAAGATAATATGACTGAGCTTGTTAGTCAAAGCAGGTAAGTCAAGGAACTTCGCATCCAAAGAAGGATCTTTTAATCCATTGTGGTAAATTAAAAGTGAAATAACAAAAAAAATTACACTAGACAATTATTAATATCATATGAAAGATTATTTAGTAGAACCAATTTTGAAACAGATGCAAACATACTTAGAAAGGTTCGATCGGAAGAGAATGAAGGCCTTGACCTACTAACTTCAGGATGACCTTCCTTCGCTGATCGTTTTCTTTGTTTCTGGTGCTGCGAATAATTGCTTTGAAGAGAGGATTTGTGAGGCTTTGATTTAGTTTCCTGTTGTCTTTCTGAAACGACACTGCAAG